GATGTTTCTCTCTCATCGATGTTTCTTACTATCTCTCTCCCTTCCTCTCTGTAAAGAATCAATAACATATATTTTTTTAAAAAAAAGAAATAATTACATTAAAAAGAAACAACCCTATTTGTTTTTGGTTTTCAATATATTGTGTGTAGTTAAGATTCTGAGCTCTGCATCCTTTCTACTGTCTATCATACTTTGAGGCATCCATTGGCACTTAGTAACATGAGGTGATTTCAGTGTGCACTTGGTAAGGATGTCAGTGATCTTTTTAAAAAAATATGTATTTTAATTGATTTCAGAGAGAAGAAGGGATAGGGAGGGAGAGATTGAAACCTCAATGATAAGAGAGAATCACTGATTACCTGCTTCCTGCACGCCCCCTACTAGGAATGGATCTGGAAACCCTTGCATGTGCCCTTGACCAGAATTGAACCTGAGACCCTTCACTCTGAAGGCGGACAATCTCGCCTTTGAGTGAAACCTGATAGAGCATAATATCAATGATCTCAACAGTCATAAGTTAGTTCTGTGAGTTGGTTCAATGATCAGCACCTCTTTCCTTCCCTTCATGTGATTTGTTGAATTAGTGTCTGTGAGCCACAAAGGAGCTGTTCCCCTAAGTCCCTCTTGTCCATTCTCTGAAACTATTGAAGGATGGACTGGATTGAACTGGAACTTGGTTCCCTCAGAGCCCATCTGTTCATGGTGAAGTCATGTGATGAACATATTTCAATAGATAACTTTCCCCAAAGGCTTTAGCATGAAGATCTATTCTCCGTAATTTCCTGGGAAAAGAGGAAGAAAATCTGCCTGGGGAACCTGCAGGTGTACAACTTGCCGCTTCACCCCCTCCCGCACCCCAGAGGTCTCAGGGGTGCTGGGTGTGATGTCTGGTACCCAGCGCTACTGAAAACAGCTCTGGGGGAGCCTTGCAGTCCCCAGGAGAGAACTAGTTAAAGATGCCATGTCATGGGCCCCAGTGCAGGCTCTTACAGGGGAGGTAAGGGGTATTGTGTTGCGTTTGGGCGTGGAGCCGAGCAGTACATGCTCTCATTGCTGTAGGAGTTTGTGGAAGTCTTTGGAAGGACAGATACATGAAGATGGAAAAAAAACACCTCACAGTGTGGTCTCCATGTAGGAGCTCATTGTTCCTCACTCTCTCCTGTGACAAAGGACAGGAGGGCGTGGCCTTTTCCTCATTTTCAGGTCCTCCTGACTGTGTGTGTGAGCTGAGCTGATTAAGAGGCTGTGCGATCTCCTTTGAAGGCACATTCTGTGACTCCTCAACATATTGTCACCTGAGGAAACAACCCAGACTCCCGATCAGGACCAGGACCAAATGGCTGCTTCTCAGGTAAAAGAATGGTCCTGTCTCAGAGGCTATGTTTCCTTTTCCTTGAACATCTGTTGATATATTTCTCGTTCCCTTCCCACGCCTGTGTCCCATCTGCCCCTGTTACACTCTGTCCTGTTACCCACAGCTGGATGATTCAGTGCTGCTTCTCCTTCTGCTCCATCATCCCTAAACCCCCTTTCTGTGCCTGCACTCACTCTTCCCACTTCTTCTTTGAACCAGTCTCCCTATCTGAAGTACCTCCCCTTCTTTTGCCCCCACTTCTGTTCACCAGAACCCCTCTTCCACTCAGCTCCCCTTCATCTCTCTAGGGCTCCTTCTTCTCCTCCACATTTCTCTACTTCTGATGTTCCTGTTTTTCCAGGTCATTTTTCTTATTTCTTTCCTTTTTTCTTATGATAGTCAATGTCAGCAGTTTCTATATTTCTCTTTTCTTTTGTATTTTCTTTTTTCCCCTCTCTTCAAAATGTATTTTTATTGGTTTCAGAATGGAAAGGAGAGGGAGAGAAAGACGGAGACATCAATAAGGAGAGAGAATCATTGATTAGCTGCCTCCTGCACCCCCCACTGGGGATTGAGTCTGAAATCTGGAGTGTGCCCTGACCAGGAATGGATCCCTGCCCTCCTGGTTCCGAGGTCAGCCCTCTACCTTTCAGCCACACTGGCCGGGCTATAATTCCCTCCTTTGCCTCAGAGCCTTCTCTGCATTCATTTTATGCAGCTTCCCCAGGTCAGGAATTATTCCCACCTTTAATTAATGACTTTCAACTACTCAGAACATTCCTTTTGTGACAGATCCACCTGGGAAGGCAGCCATGTCTAACATCCCTATTTGGATGGGGTCAACAGGCTGGGGTATCAGTGAAGAAGGCAAATGCAGGTTTTAGATTCCAGTGGCTGCAGTGTCAGTTCTAGATTATGGGTAAGAAGATGCACATTTTACTGCTCAGGAAGTTCTGAAAGGAAGAGTAAATGGAAGAGACTTGCTCACTAGATTACTACGAAAGACTTGGTATTTAAAAGTACTATTAGCTTATAAAACATGAGAGTTACATGTGGATTGACACTTGCAAAAATTAATCTGTATTTGTGATCATTTTACCATAACTTTTCCTTTTCTTTTTTTGAATCATATATGAGCGTTTATTCCAGTAATGCTGTCAGTATGGGAGAGCAGCAGATCACCACAGAAATCTGCTCCGCATCCCACCGGAAGCCAGTTGTTTATATAGTAAAAGTATAAAGGAAAAGTAGGCAAAAGGGCAGTTTACAGATATGCAAAGGAACTAGGGGTCTTCAAAGGGCTTAGTGATATGCAAGGGTTGGGATTACATGGGGAAATAGCCAAAAGGAGTGCCAGATGGGCAGTTAACAGGTAAGCAGGCTGGAGGTCTGCAAAAAGGGCTGGGGATTTTCAAAGGGCTGGAAATTCTGGTTTTGGTAACAAATCTTTGTGAATCTTTCCATGATAATAGGCAGCTCTGAATGGGGAGCAAGGGCTGCATCTCCAGGTCAGCTCCAGCCAGGGTGTAGAATGTACCTTCATTAGCTTCCACACTCCCAAAGCTTCAAGGGCCCTTCCTTTATCTCTATAACTTGTTTCCTAATGAAACGGGAAATTTGGTTTGGAAATGTGTGGTGTTCTCCTGGGCAGGATGTTTCCCTGGCTATTGTCCGGTGGAGTCAAAGAATGAAACTAGGGTCAAAAGGTGGAAATTTATTGAGAAACAAGCACAGACTCCCACGTGGGGAGGGATAAAGAGTCCCCCATAATTATTTCTTTATTGATGTATTTTTGGCAGTAATGTCAGCAGTGGTGACCTGACATTCCGAGTGTGTGCCTCAGTCACCTGATGCCCATTGTCTTAGTCCACCTGATATTCAGGTGGCACAGGTGCTTCCCTCACTATACTGTTAATAGTCTCTCTTTCTCAGTAACAAGGGTGTAGAAGGGATTTAATGAAAGTTGTGCAAAGACCATCACTTCACATATGAAAATGTCCCTCTTCTTAGTTTGTGTTTGCTTTGGGAAATTAAGGAGTTACTTTTATTTCCTACTAGACGCCCGGTGCACGAAAGTCGTGCACGCGTAGTGTCCCTTGGCCTGGCAGGTGATCAGGGCTAATCGGGGCCTTCCTTACTGTGCTGCAGGCTGCCGGCTGGGGCCTTCTTTCCTCCCGTGCCGCCCCATTCAGCCCACATAGTGAGCAGTTGAACTCTCGGTCGGTCAAACTCCTATTCAGTTGAACTTCTGAGGGGGAAGTTTGCATATCAGACTTTTATTATATAGGACTAAAGGCCTGGTGCATGAAAATCGTGCACCAGGAGGTGGTGTCCCTC